ATCCATGTTCGCAGCACCCGTGATCATGTTCTTGATGTAGTCGGCGTGGCCTGGGCAGTCGACGTGGGAGTAGTGACGAGTCTCGGTGGAGTATTCGATATGGGCAGTGGCGATGGTGATACCTCGCTTGCGCTCTTCGGGAGCCTTGTCGATGGAGGCATAGTCGAGGAAGTTTGCGAATCCCTTCTCAGCCTGTCTCTTTGTAATGGCAGCGGACAGTGTGGTCTGATCGCGAAAGGGTGATGGTTAGCTAGTTCGCATGAGGGAGGCTTAATGAGCAACAAGGTGCTTGTAGTACCTTTCCGTGATCGACGTGACCAATTGTACCTATTGGGGGTCTGTCAGTCTAAAGCAGTCATGGAAAATATCTTGCGACACTGCTGACCAATGTTAACGTGAGGCTTGGTTCTCTCAAAGACTGCATAACCCCGGCGCAGGTTCAAAACTGGCGAGGCGGACTGGCGCTGCAATGATATTAAAGGGTTGCCAGATCGGTAGGAGGATCGCGCCGTCCGCAGGAACGGAGCAAGTGTTCTCAAGGACGACATGGTGAAGGGGAAACAAAGGGGGACAGCCACGCAATCAAGGAGGAAAGATGAAGAACCCGAAGTGGGAAAAAATCACAGTCGACAAATGTCGCTGAGGGATGGATGATGAGACCTCGACCTGAAGCTGTGAATTTTTGGGGCACGGACCACATGTACTAGCCATGCATCTGACAGGGATGCCATGCGGGCCGAGCAGATTAGGTCAGCGGCCCGTGTACACGGTCGGGTTCGAGACTATTGTCACGACTTGAGGGCCAAGAGTGACATCTTCACTCAGCAGACTCACTTCTATCCACGAAAACCTTTTGAAAGTAGAGATAAACCCGGAACAATGATGCATCAATCGCCGGTTTGCGAGATAACATCCCTCTATCGCTGTTAAAGACAATATAATCAAAAAATGAGACAGCAGGATCGCGGGCACAGAAGTCCGTAATGACCGTATAGTCACTGCTTGGTCTGACATGCCCCAGGACTAACCTCTATCAGCAAGTCAGGGATCTCAAACACCATTCAACGTGGCCAAAGATGTGGAGGAGAATGTGAGGAAGAGGATGCTGATCGTTAGTGTAGAAGCCGTTCGCCTCGAACCAGATCTATTCCAATCTGGCCGACAACTTCGAGGGAGCAATAATAGTTTACAGAAAGGCTCTCGCGTTCAGGCATTACCGAGGCTGTGTCGTGGAATGATTGTACTGTACCGAAAAGTCCATTTGGAGTGAAGTGAATTGTTGCTTGATTCTGGGATTCTGTTGATTTCTGCGCTGTTCAAGTCGTTCGGGCTGGTCCTGAGCTTGGCTTCTCTCCAAACCGTACCTACACTGCCAGGGCAACACACCGTTACCCTCGCCGACGCCAATGCTTATGGGAAGAGCAGAGGACCCTTGTGTGACGCCCAAGTTGGTTTAATCAGAAGGTAATGAGACTGCGACACTGTCCTGGCTCTCGAATGACTATGGAGTTCCATATTATTCAAACACTGTCCTGGAGAAAGTAATGAGGCCTGAATATGAAAATCTAGGTGAGTGCTTCATAGCCACACACATACACACGCGTCCCTGCTAACGCCTTTCCTCTCAACTGAGATTCCTGGTACATACGTTTCATGGACAAGTATAAGGACGAACTGGAAGCTTGCGGATTGCTACAATATGATGGACACGGACAATTGTGGAAACCCACCCGAAGGTTCTTCCTGTCAGCCACAGCCCGAACTCTGGTATATTCTTAGAACATGTCACAATTTCCATGTTTTCATGCGGCAATATCACGGGGTTTTCGCTGAAACAGTCGGCGGTCCTGTTCACGTTCCCTTGACCAAGGACCTAACGGCGGATTTTCTAGTCAAGGTGACTCATCATTTCAGTCCATTCGCGCTTTTAAACACATTAGTGACTATTCTCAGCGTCAATGGCACCGGTTCTGGTCTGGTACCAGGAGGGTGAGAGTGTGGGCGGTACTGCAGGTTTACTCGGGGCAATTATCAGTGCAGCCGGAAGCGCTACGATGACTTCAATTGACTTCAAACCTCTAAGATGACAATGTGTATGATGTTTCTGAAGACCGAGTTGTCACATTATGAAACTCCACTGTCTGAGGCTCGCGCCATTCCCTGAATGAATTTCCCGAAGCCCCAGGCCAGAAGGATTTTCCGGGTTGGAAGGCTCCGCTACCTGCCCGACGACCTGGTGCCATGCAGGATATGACATGACCCAAATGAAGTTCTTGGACAATGGGGCGTCTTTCAACCACGTTCTCATTGATGTGTAAACCCTCTTGATGCATAGACAAGACGCTGCGCCTCTTTGACCTGATATTGTGTGTCCATGCCGGGGCCTCGAATAGTTTTCTCGCTATTTACATGTAGGGACGACCGGAGAAGACCTATCGAGGACGGGCTGGAAGCCAGCTTGACTGCGGTTGCTCTCACGGAAGCAAATCGGTATATCCCTAAGGATGAATACTCCCTGATAAGTGCCCGTCTGGCGACGGGCAAAGCGGCATGGTCATCAGCAATAGCTGCTACACTCTCGAGAGCGTTGGCCCGGATGGTGGCTTCTACTTCATGGCCATTGACTCTGATACTCCCCGCCCCCCAAAAAACACCCCATCGAGGGGTAGACTTGCAGAAACTGTATCAGGATTCCGACTTGTTACAAGATGCCAACAACGGTTATCACAGCAGCGCAATGGGTAGCCGTTGCTGTATAGCACGAACGCGGATAAGTTGGGAAGCTTTTTCTAATTATACTATGCCGGTGCTGATCGCGGACTGCCAAGGCGAGGACAAGCAGGACCACACGCCTTGTAAGATCCGCGCCTCGAATAAAACGGAGCATGATACGACAGTTGGGAAGACATGTGTTCCACATGACTTGGAAGAGATATTTACAGACGATTGGTGTAGAAGGACATGAGCTGACGGGCCATAGTTCAGAACGCCTGGAAGCCAGCAAGCCCCACCCAAAAGATTGATCTACCTTCAACACGCAAGACAACCTTGCTTGGGTATTTCGTTGCAGAATCGCGTTGAAGCATGCCTTTCTCAGATACGTGGGGACTTGTGGCTCGCGTCATCATCATAAGCTGTCAGTATATGTCTCGATGACATCGCTATTGAAGTCTTAAAAACTAACTGTGGCATGAAGTGAGATTGGCCGCAGCAAAGTCGAACAAGCAATGTATATCACCAACTATGACGTCCAAGGACAGTGCAATACGAATTGCCCAAGCATGTTCCCCAGTCACCAAAGACCTGGTCATCAAACCTTTGCTTGATGATACTATCACCCTGAATGGGATTGAGGTTGTTCAAGGAAGCTTGATGCGGGACGGTTTCATTTCCAGTATCATCACGAACATCACAAGTGAGACTATAAGGTCGGTCCAGGGCAGCTTCGCAATCACGAACAACCCAACATTGGGCGTGGTCAGTTTTGGAACCTTTGATTATGTTGAAGATCGGGTTGTCCTGGAGGCTCTGCCGCAGCTTATGGGGCTCAATTTTCAAGTCTAACCCATGTGGGATCTTTTATATCACAGATATTAGTAGCAATGTGAATTCAGTACTAGGGATCCAGACGTGGCCTGGTTCTGGATTTCGACAGAACTTGACCCGGCTATATGGAGACAACGCCAGCTTCATGGTGAACAATGCTTAGACGATGGAGCTGGCTGACGACTAGAACTTTCATTTCGAGCTCCACACTTTTACTTGCACCAACAATTCCGACCCGGACACCTTGAGGTCAACGCTGTTGAGTGTGTCCGATACCCTCCACATCGCTAACAACGGGAGACTTTACGACCTATCCATGTCTCAGAAGATGCCGCCTTCCTTGGATACGATCATCCTGTCCCCGAATACCCCAGTAGGTACTTGACGAGCTTTTTTAGACATCATATACCATGGATCTCAGCAGCTGTGGCCCTGGGGGATTAAGTCGATAAGGTACATGAAAATTGACGGATTCTCATTGTCGGATAATGGATTCCGCGAGACTACGCTCAACACTAGCTTCTTGTATGTGTCCCCCACTCTGGTCATCAATTTTATTCTCATTGATCGGCTGGAACGTCCCGATCTCAGGGACAAGAACGCGAGCTAATCAAGGCCTCACGCTTCACAGTCGCAGCTTTAACAACTCTGCCCTCGGAGGCTGGAATAACGGTACATATCTTCGCGTAGGACTCATGGTCAAAAGCCCCGGCTAGGATGCAGGCTTCGAAAAATACGGCTGTCCGTTCCTAGCGGACCCATACAGCGTCAGATACTTTATGGGTACTTTCAAATGTAATAACAACGAAGTCGAACAGATCATACCGTCTGCTGGGCTTCGCAAGAAGCCGCTGATGTCATTTCTGGTACTGAGTGTCTCGGCTGGCTTCGTGTTCTTTTAGGCTTTTAATCAATCGGAAAATAAGGCGGCGATAGTCCCTGGCGAGAAGTGGGAGTGGGCGCGGCTCACCTGCCTATTGTAGCAGTATGCACGGGGCTACAGGATTGCGGCTGCCCAGATGGCCTATGCACACGCCTATTCGGGGCTGCATCTTAGCCTTGTCTCACCTCTAGCCTCGTTCAATCGACTCACTTTACCACTACATCTTTGACACACACGAGGCTTTCAGACCTACCAACTAGGTACCTACTCATATTCGAGTACACTGGATGTCTCATTCTTAATATATTTACGTGAGATATACAACAAGCTACTTGGTATTATATTTCAAAATCAAATTATATAAATATCGTTATATATAGAATGATTTAACATTCAATTCTTACAAATGATCATTTTGGTGATAGAGTATTTTGACAAGAGCTCTCATAAAGAGTATTATACAGGCCCCAGGTTCCGAAAAAAAGACTCTTGACTCAAATTCAACCTGCAACTACTTAGTAGAATATAGATACATAATTCGGGGCGTTTTCCAACCAAGCAATCATGTGATGCCCGGCTAGCTCAATCGGTAGAGCGTGAGACTCTTAGTAATCTCGCGATTTCTGAAATCTCAAGGTTGTGGGGTATGTTATAATGCCCGTTTCGTCCGTTTGAACCTCACTCTAACAACCAACCTAGTTCGACCCCCACGTCGGGCTCAATTCCCGTCATTGGATTCTTTTTTTTTTTTTTGCTTTTGTCCCGTTATTTCGTTTATTACACTGCCAATTGTATCAAAAGGATGTAATCGTGTTCTAGGCATAGTATTGTCAGTATAGAAGAAAGGGTTGAACTGTCACCTAAGTAATATCGACTCTTTGAATATTATTTTATAGTAAGAAAGTACATATATTCGTTGATAAACCCTCTTTTGAGAGCTATGCTATAGCTGTAGAAAGAAGTATTTATATATAATGTGAAGTGGAATCACCGGGTGAATTCAATGAGTGAATCCGTCAGGAATGTATAGGCTGAACTCACTATACATTCATGGCTATCAAATAATTTATTAATCATTGATTAGAGTATATCTTTTATGTAATCTTCTTGGACTCTTTTTTTCAACCCTGAAGTTATTATTCAATAGATATTTGTTATTACAATACTTATTTAAGCAAACAAGCGAATGTACTGCGAATGTACTAATGATAGGGGAACTGCTATTACTAGTGCTATAAGCAAGAGCAATAACCAGGCCTGAGAACATGCGGTCCTTGCTCTTGGGGTCTCGACAAAGAGCGCGGGCTCTCGATTTAATAACTCGTGGCTGTTGCCAAGTTTCAGTCGGACACAGCTGGTTCTCCAGGTTGAGACGAGATGACGGATGATGAAGGACGTTAGTCGTTCAACAATCAGCCAGGCTGGTCTGCTGGTGCAGCTTGGGACCGGTATCAGAGGAAGCTTCGGACTGACACTGACAAGCTTGTATGAAAGGTCAAACATATTTAGCTGGCCTGGACTTATGAGGTATTGCTAGTGCCAGAGAAGTTGGGGACATAGGGTGCTTTGGCAGCCTACCTAGGTACCCACAAGCTGAAGGCACGTGTGGGCAGGTGAGAGGCGGCATTCTAGACTTCTATTTATTTACTCTCCTTTGCTGACATGGCCAGAAATTATGAACATAATGGGCGAAAGTTGTCTTTGTTTATCAGTGACTGCCCGTGACCGACCTCAACGTCCCATAAGCTTCTGAAGGAGAATAACAAGTCTCGATTGGCCTGGTGAAATGGCTTATAGAGATCGGGGGCCATCTATCCCGGCCTGTAAAGAGTAATTGCCTGGTAGTATATAGTAAATCCACTTTTAAAGCATCTCCATGTCTTCAATCAAGCGCATGTCCCATCGAACTATTATGAAGGCCCTGAGCAAGCAACACTGGGCTTCTCTAACTTACGAATGCTCCTTCAAATCTGGACAAGCCTCCAATGCTGTGCCAGACTGGACCATTTGTTGCGAATATGTCCCATGTCGCAGGTATCACCAGGTATATAACATCATGCAATACGAGAGTAGTGACAATAAACAGAGCCAAGCTATACCTGATTTATACCTGACTGGCGACTGTAACTGGAAATGAATGCGTTCGCCAGTGGGGAAGCTAATTATCAAAGAGAATCATGCACTCTCTGTCTCTCTTGTGAACAATTTTCGAGGCAGTTGAGCTGTCGTCATCCCGGGTAATTATGTTGCTGAGGTACAACCGCTGAATGGCACCCTATTGCTTGGCTACAATACTGAACAGCTGGCATATGCTCAGGATAGGTACCTCCCGTATCCTATATACTATGTTGACGGGCTTGCGATCGCTCAGGACGGACAGGAGCAAGGCTCTCATCTTACGACGACCTCTAAAGTACGTGCAATCAACCGCACTCGCTCGCTAGCAAGACCAAAGCCGGCAGCTTGGCTCCTCTCGTGAGCGGCAGGCACAGCCATCCCTGTGTTGCATATCTCCATTTTTCTCACCAAGATCTTGAGCATCTTTGCTGTCAAGCGGCACCTGAATCATGTGACTCCCGGAACTCATATTGTCCCGATCTCGGGAGATATTTGAGAGAAGGTTGCCCAGTTCGAGCCGCTTGCGGGGTTGAAATCCAGCAATGAGTATCTCCCCTCTTTCCAAGTACCTTGCTGTCAATCAAGCTGCCAGGCTTCACGTTGAGCTATAATACAGCATGTCTGTCAGAACAGCGTATCTTACTGGTGGTGCGCATGGAATTGGACTAGCAGTGACCGAGAGGCTTGTAGCCAGAGGCATCAAGGTTGCTATTGCGGATCTCGATCTGGATCGCGCAAAGGAAGTGGCAGCGACTTTGAATGCCCAACAGAACGCCGACTTGGTCTCCTCATACCAGGTCGATGTGAGCAACTGGGAATCTCAAAGGCAAGCATTCACCAAGGCTGTCGAGGATCTTGGCCGTATCGACCTTGTCTTCCCCATAGCTGGGATTGGAGAAAACAGGAGCTGGCTGCCCAAGGACCCTCATTCGACCGAGTTCACCAAACCGGACTTGACAATCATCGATGTGAACTTGACCGGATTTCTGTATACGAGCAGCATCGCCATTCAACAGATGAGGAAGCAGGCGGTTGATGAATATGGATTTCGGGGCAAGAGTACGTCGAGCATAGGTCCAACTGGAAGATCTCAGGGCCTCGACGGCGCGTGTATGTTGAGCTAGCTGACGGTTGATCAGTTCTCGCAGCGGCCTCAATTTGTGGCTTCTACTGTGCATCGACCATACCTGTGTATACTGCATCCAAGCATGGCGTGGTCGGGTTTGTTCGCAGTTACGGCAAACATCTCCCGGAAGAGGGTATCGCCCTCAACGCGGTTTGTCCAAACGTCGTCCGCACGGGTATTAACGACACCTCGTTTTACAACATCCTGGACCAACGAGGCCTTTTGACCGATATTCGAGATGTTGTCAATGCTTTCGAGAGCTTCGTGGATAATAACATGTCTGGCGAGTGTGCGGAAGTAGGGCCCAATGGAGGCTTCACCATCAAATCACCAACCGAGTACCTGGATCGAGAGAGCGAGGAAGTTGTCAAGTACATCGCCGAAGGGCATCGCCACCTTCATAGTTCAACGAAATAATGCAAGCCGCGGCCCTGGCTTCAACACAATAACGTGGAAATGCGTGAGAATTGCTGTCATGAGTTTTGACGGTGGTTTTCGAGTCAAGTGGTCTTGGGTTCTGCATCAATTATATCTTCGAGGTGAATCTTGGCTATAATAGCGCGCTTGCTTCGTGAATGTCTGAAAAGAAATACCATCCGACTCCTGATGCCCTCATGATCTACAGTCAAGGTCATCACCGACGTGTTTCTCCCATCCACATGGTTGCTAGGACCACGCCGAAGGTTGGGTCTCGGAGCCTCCAACGCACTTCGTCCATTTCCTTGCTTATGTGGCGCCACATAGGCTGCGCTTCTGCCCCAAGCCATTGACTACTTCACCAGCCCAGCACCGTGCAGACAGCCGCCACAAGCGCTGGTGCCGTCTGAATGCCCATTATGCGTCTACTCGACGTCATGCCTCCCACAAGCCCAGCAACGCCTACACATCCCAGAAAAAACAACTTGATTTCCTTTGCAAACTCCGGGACGGGGTGCAACAGTCCCCAGACAAGGCCTGCGGCCAGAAAGCCGTTGTACACTCCTTGGTTGGCGGCGAGAGTGCGAGTTTGCAATGCAAACTCAGGGGTAAGCTTGAAGGCCGCCCTTCCACGTGGCGTCGTCCAGAGGAACGACTCGAGGATAAAAATATAGCCGTGCAACCCGGCCACGAGACCGGTAGAGAGAGTAGAGAAGAAAGCCATGATGATGCAGTTGGACGGTCTTCAACAGAAGAAAGATTTGAGATTACACGAATCAAAGGAAAAGAGGCCCGAAGGGGGGGGGGTAATTGCAAGATTGAAGCAGATGTAAACTTCTTGAGTAGGGTACTTCCGCGGGATAGGGAGGTAGGTGACTGCACGAAGTGTGTGCTATGATGGGATAACTTTCCAAGTTGCTATGGAAAGCCGTTGGGTACCTTTACGAAGGCTTGAAGGCTTTGAAGCCTTCAATGGGGGCCAAGAAAGAAAGAAGTTGCTATTTATATTGCGGATATGATCTGACTCGCATCCTTGCGCAACCTCGGTAGAACTCTAGACTGGATCCAAGAGTAGCCTTCACGTCCGTAAAATTACTTAGGTACGAGCCCGGTCGCGCTGCAGAACTTGACAAGAGCTTTGTTCAAAGGACGCTGCTCTGAGTGCTGAGGCGCTAGTGGTTCTTCATGGGAGCACGTTGCTTAATTACACAGAGCTGTGGAAGAAATGGTGCAAGTATACACCCCCAATCTGAACAAATGCCTAATGATGTATTGATGATATTGGGAAATATTCATTTCATACCACTGAAATATCTTCCATCCGTATGCCACTGTGTTGAGTTTTTCGACTCCCGTCCAAAGACTGCCTAGACGTCCACGTCCATGCGCCGTGATGTTGATTCCCCATGACGTCCGACTGTTCGTTGATGCATCAATTTGACCTTTCCTCGCCCAACAAGATGGGATGAGGTGCCCCGCTGCCCAAGCAATTTCTTGAGCCACCAAAATGGTAATTAGGAGCGATACCAGAATGACCAAAAGTCCAACAGAATCAGACACCATTGCGCCGTATTGCGCCGTGGAACGCCGCCTGCGCCCTGACTGATGCGCAATAGCTTGAATGACCACAGGTTTTCCACTAACCAAAGAAGGCGTGAGCCGTCAGTACTCCAAAGCAGCTTAAACATGTAGCTAGACATTCCCCATGTCTTTATCAGATGTTGTGCACCATGTGCTCCCTACGGAACCGCGATTGATCTTCAACCTTCCATGGGCATGACCGGCTTCCCCGCGTCCACAATGATTTGTTCGTCCAGCTTCTGTTTGATGTCGCCCCACTCGACCCTCTTCCAGGTCGAGATGCGGCCGTCGTTGAGGTCAAGGTCGAAGATCCGGATCTTGCGGTGGAACCCACCATAGCCGCCATACCCACCGAAGCCAGACCCGCCAGCGTAGCACATCCAAAGGGCTGGCTTCTTGGTACTTTCATCAGTAGATAGGGCGCAATACTCGTTTGCATGATCACTGGAGGACACAGCAATTAGTAAATACGACGAG